TTGATTTTATAACTAGCTGCCAACAACTCCATTTGCGGTTGTCGTCGATCAGTCAACCAATCAATCGATCATTCAACCCAATCAATCGATCCTTCACGTCCATTTGCAGCTGTCGTCGATCATTCACCCAATCAATCGTCTGCTATCGCCACCTTCCAACGTCGCCACCATCCACCGGGATCCGTCTCCACCCAATACCATTCTGCACCGCCATTCGCTGTCGTCCGCTGCCGCTATCCTCCGCCATCCACTGCCATCATCCGCTGCCACCATCTGCCACCGTTATTCACCACCATCCACCGCCACTATTTGCCGTCGGCATTCGACGCCCTTATGATTCACCGCTATATGGCGTCGTGATTTGCCATCACCATCCATCATCCGCCATCTCCGATACCTCCGCTTTCTACTGCCATTTGGACCACTAGTGCGAATACGTGGATCCATTTGGTACTTTAAGGGACCATTAGGAGTCCTTCTCTGTATGGGGAAACAGTTTGAATTTATTTCTTCTGTTTGGGATTCTTTTACCTCAACCTAACACTCATTTAAAACTTAGGACTGCCTTTGGACCAATTTCTACTGCTAGGATTACGTGGAACAACTTTGTTATATTGAGACATTTTTTATATTACTTCGGGATTATTGGACGTTCACTTACTATTGCGTAAAGTAATTCAAGACCATCTTAGCTTCTACAGTAGGAGTCTTTACTTTTTTTAATTTCAGTTGAGTTCTTACACTCTTTATTGATACTTTAAGGTAGTATATTCATGTCTCATATGAATCGAGGTCCTTTACCTAACACTTATCTATCTATCTATCTATATATATATATCCATTTTACTTTTTTATTTTTTAGGCGGCTCGGCTAGACAAGTAGTCTCGAGCTAGTCTGGTACCCTAGTTAAAAGAATATATATTTAATCAAATCGATTTGGTTTTATATTTGTTCATCCTTAGTTATTTCAACTTATTTAAGTTAGATCATACATATTATGTATTGTATAAAGTGAGTGACTTTTGTTAAGCTCCGGTTTAAAAAGTAGTTTCATAACAAAATATGTCAGTTCAACTTATCTTTTTATGTAAAAAATAGCTTAAGGAGCTATGCTACCAGCCGGGCCGCCCGGGTTCCGGGACGCCAGCCCGTGCAAGGACCACGAAAGGTCCCAGCAAAAAAATAAAAAATAAATAAAAATCCAAAAAATAATTAAAAATCCGAAAACAAAATATGTTATGCAAAGAACTAAACTGAACAACTTTTGTCTCAGGGTCACATCGAAAATCTTCTTCAAATTAATATGCATATATATATATAGTCGGTGAAACTCCAACGAAACAGTTTGTCACAACCCCTCGTTTGTTGTCCTTGTCTCTCTCTCTCTCTGCCTACGGTTTACCGAACAGTTCTGTTTGTGACGATATATATATATATATACAGAGTTGCCAGGCCGAACGTACGGAGCCCCCTAAGCTGACCCCCGGACGTTCGGGCGCTCGGGTCCCCGTACGGGGCCCGAACTCGAAGGGGTTTGGACCCTGCAAAACATATTTTGGTACCAATAAATTATTATTTTTTTCTGAGTTTTTTTTTGTAAGTTCTCTGTTATGTAAGCTACCTGTCTCTCAATTTTGAAGTCATTCTGTGAAGCCAAACAATAATGAAAAATCGGCAAAGATGGTGGTGTCAAAACTTGCTTTCCCACTTACTAATTTGTTTTTTTTTCTCTTTTCACTTTTTGTTTTCCCTTTATTTCGGGGCCTGAAAAACATTATTATTTTTTTAAACTTTATTTGTAGGTTCTCTATTATGTAATATACATATGCATAAAATTTCATGGAATTTTACAAAGCCAAAAAAAAAAAAAAAATCGCCAAAGGTGGCGATGTCAAAAACTTGCTCGCCCACGCAATAATTTCATTCTCGTTTTATTTTTTCTTATTTTCATTAATATTATTTATTTTTCGTATTTGATTTTTAGTTCAAATTTGGTAAGGAATTTGGATGTATTGTTGAGGCAAATGTTGTTTAGTTTATTCTTCTTCATGACATATGTTTTTTTCATAATTTTCGAAAACTGCTTTTTTTTTTTTGTTTTTTTTTTTGGTTCTGCGTTCGGTCGAACGTCCGAACGCGTCGAGAGGGGGTCCCAAATGTTCGGGCGTTCGGGTTCGGGTGTTCGGCCCGTCCCGAACGCCGACAACCCTGTATATATATATATATATATATGTATATATATCGTCACAAACAGAACTGCCCAGTAAACCGTAGGCAGAGAGAGAGAAGAGGACAACAAACGAGGGGCTGTGACAAACTGTTTCGTCGGAGTTTCACCGACTCATCAGGAGGTATATATATATATATAGTGACGATATATATATATATATCGTCAAATAGAACTGCCCGGTAAACCGTAGTATATATATATATATATATATATATGACGATATATATATACATATATATATTGTCACTATATATATATATTTATACAGGGTTACCGGCATTCGGGATGGGCCGAATGCCCGAACCCCAACGCTCGAACGTACGGGACCCCTTCGGGAGGCGTTCGGCCGTTCGGGCCAAACGCGGACAAAAAAAAAAAAAAAAAAAAAAAAAAAAATCAAAAAATTCCGAAACAAAACTATGTTATGGAAACAAATAAACTAAACAACATTTGCCCGGGCACTACATCCAAATTATTTACCAAATTTAAATTAAAAATCAAATACAGAAAATAAGCATTGTGATAAAAATAATAAAATTACGCTACCAGCCGGGCCGCTCGGGTCCCGGGTGGCCAGCCCGTGCAAGGAGGTCCCAAAAAAAAAAAAAAAAAAAAAAGAACTCCAAAAATTCCGAAAAAAAACTATATTATGCAGAAAAATAAACTGAATAACTTTTGTCACAGGGCCACATCGAAATTCTTCACCAAAATTAAAATAACAATTAAAAATTAAAAATATATATATATATATATATATATTTTTGGCCCGGCCGGGCAATTGACCCCGGGCCAACTCAGGTAACCTAGTAATAAAAAATAAAAAGAGAATTAAAATGAGTGAGTGTGCCAGCACCTTTTCGACACCGTCATCTTTGCCGATTTTTAATTAATTTTTGGCATTGACAAATGCCCTGAAAATTTACAGATATGTAGTTTACATAATCAATAACTCATTAAAAAGTTTTTAAAAAATAATAATATTGTTTAGGCCCCGAAATAAACTGAAAATAAAAAGTTAAAAGTGAAAAAAAAACAAAATAGTGAGTGGCGAGCACGTTTTAACACCCCCATCTTTGACGATTTTTAATGTTTTTTTGGCTTAGCAGAATGGCATCAAAATTTATAGGCGTGTAGGTTACATCATAAAGATTTTGGACAGGGTATACCGAGCTGGCATGATATCAGTGCTCGTCCGGAGCGGAGCCTTGGGTTCGATGATTTTCAAGTTTCGGGTTAGCGGACTGTTTTCGGCATTTTCGGTTAGTAGCTATCGGGCCATGTGAATCCTGTTTTGGAAACGACGGGGTGGGACCACTGGTATGGATTCAGTATTGGTTGTATTTGTAGTTTGTCACGGGAGGTAGCTAGACTATATCAACATCTATTGCGTGTTGTTCTACAGGACTAACGACCGGACCTGAGTGCGGTATCCGGAGACCTACCGTGGGGAAGGACGGAAGAGGGTTGGAGTGGAGTAGCTCGACTAGTATGGGAACGAGGTGGGAAACCCCTGATGAGATGGCGGCGGCCATCGAAACTCGTCGGGGACGCATTCCAGCACGAAATTCTTTCTATCTTGTGAAGAAAACATTCAATGATGCTTTTCATTTCAGTTGCAGTTTGGACGTCTAAAGATGTTTTACTCTGTGATACCACTACTACCATGTACTGCACACGTGAACTTGCCTGAGGTCCAAGTCAGCCGGGTTGAGTGAGCGTGTATACACACATGTGACTGTCACTACCAAGGAAGTACCAAGGAAGTACCAAGGAGGAGAAGCGGCTGCGACATCTGGCGGACTTTGCACAAAGAGGTACACAGGATGTCGAACGCTGATCAGCGAGATGGAGGGCCAGCCGGCGGCGGCGGCCATGACGACCGGAGGCAATATAGGCCTCCGACATGCTTTGCATGCAACGAAATGGGGCATTATGCAAATCAGTGCCCCGATCGTGCCCCGAGGCACCATCACCAGGCGAGACCTTCGGCTTCATCTGATTCTCGAGGGTCCCGATCGCCAAGAAGATATGACTCCCGGAGGAGAAGGGATTCACCAGGAGGAGACTCGGAGATTAAGTCGACGCTTATGAAGCTGAGCAAGTCGGTTGCAGCCATGCACGAGTAAGTCAAGCAACAGAATCTGAAGAAGGAGTAGAAGGCGAGAAGAAAACAAGAGAAGAAGGAGGCGGCGAAACATGAAGAAGCCGAGAGACTAAGAATGGAGGAGAAGGAGGCTCGTGCTGCAGAAAAAGCTCGCAAACGTGCTGAGGAACAAAAAAAAGTTGTGGAAGCTGAAAAGGAGTGACGCGCACAGATGAAGAAGGACGTTGATATCTCGGTTGCAATCCGGTTAAACGAGATGGGGGACAGCTGGTTCCAGAGACTGCATAGTGTGATTGGGCCACTATACTCTACGGCAGACCGGAAAGGCAAGAAGAAGGTGACATATATCTCAAGTCAAGAGTCTGGGGATGAGAGCGAGGCGAGTGACACAAGCGTCACACAAGAACTGAGCAATCGTACCGCAAAACTGCAGATCTCCGAAAAGCGAAAACGGGGACCGGAAGTTGAGATCGAGGACAACCGTCCTATGGAGAAGCCCCCCAAGCGGACCCCTAAGCAAGGGGGTTTGAAACCGGTCAAGCTTACTGCTCGCATGACTCGGGGAAAGCCCGGAGACCGGCAGGCACAATGCAGATGAGGAGGACTCCTGGGTGACCACCAACCGTTCGGTCACCGGTGAAGACGCCAATGTCAGCGCGGAAGACGCCGAAGACGCCAAAGACAACTCGGGGAAACTCACCGCAGATGCCCAAGTTCACGCCTGCTACGCGCGGGGCGTTGGAACGATTACGCTACCGGAATAAGGTGATCGACGATCTGAAGGCTCTCGATGTTGTCGAGCTACAGAAGCAATGCAAGACTGAAGGGATACCCTACAATGGAAAAATCGAGGCGATACTCGATATTGCCGATACCAGGGTATTGGCGAGATTCGGGACAACGACACAAGAACCTGCCGATGTGATACGTGTTGAGGAATCAGAGGATCGAGGAGGGAGCTCAGACCATGATGCCGGATCCGGCGATGTGGTGGCTTGAGAACGTTTGGAGACGCCGAAGCTTTGGAAGCTTTGCAAGTACCTCACTGAGTTGAGAAGGGAATCGTACGTGGTTGACCCAAGAGTTGAGGAGCTACTTAGTTTGGTGATCCTGAGTCTGACTTTGGATGGACGAATTCGTTGGCTGGGTAAGTGCGTTAAGTGTTGGTTGCGTCTGTATGATAAGCACGGTTTGGAATTCCTTAGATTGTCTAACTGTATATACATTGGTACCTCACCGTCTTGTAAATCTCTGTACGTTGGGAAAACCACACGTAGCACGGTAGTTAGATGGCGCGAACATGTGTATGCCTTTCGTAAGCGTAAGCAATCCCACTTTCATAGATGGATGTGCTCATTCGGGATCGAGAAGTGCTTGCTTATTCCAGTCGATGTTTTCGAAGAAACCTACCTGGGTAGTTTGGAGAGGTTGTACATACAGCAGTGGACTCTGTTTCTCAATACTGTCGGGAATCCCAAGGCAAACGGGAAGAGTAGATGTAAGCCTGGACGGAAGGAACAAGCTGCCTTACATAGGAATGATGATGGACCTACCACTAGGAACAACAGCTTCGCCCCCGTCCGCATGCGTTTGAATCGGAATGAAGCTTGGGGTATTGACCTGTTCCGCTTACTCGATGAATGTTTGATGACCGGGCAGTCCGATGTTGTGTGTGAGTTTGAGACCGGGAATGTTTGGAGTGGCGGTTGTAAGAGTATTGTGAGAATCTTCAGGGAGTCGAAAGTTAAAAACGGGTCGTGGTGTCGGAGGCTGAAGGAGTGTAAAACGGACTTTGAGCGAGGGGGAGTTTTTCATTTTACCCATGTGTGCAAATGGAAACCGAGGTGCGGTTATCTGAAAAGTGTCTTAATCTGCATCCTGTGCAATCCGCGACGACTCAGTAGTGTACAACTGGGGTATGAATTCCCTGCTCAGGCTGTATAATGTAGTTAAGGATTTCTCCTGAAAATCAACCAGGAAATACTTGCGACGGTTGATCTCTAGAATTTTTCGGGACCGTTTTGATATTTGTATGGGAGCGGATCCCGTTTCTTGCATTAAATTTGATGAGCGAATTAAGCTGTCGGAGTTACGTAAGGTAGTTAACGATAGTTTGATGTTGTGTGGGTTACTGTCTTGCTACTTACAACGGACCTGGAGGAAAGTCCGTATCGTGTGGGTGAAGAACCCATCCATGGCAGAGATAGTACAAAACCATCGCAGTCTTGCGACTAGGAATGTGCTCACCTGTAGCTGCGCAGGTTTGCCCTACCCGAGGGAGGAGGGCCACGTTCGCTTCCGTTTAAGTCAGCTAGACGGAATTCACCCCCTGTTGAAGAATGCAAAGAATGTTCCGCGTATCCTGGATCGCGACCGGGCTGCTAAGCTGCAGACGGAGATTGCCGTGGGTTTCGATGCATCGATGAACTGCATAAAAAACCTCCATTGGTAGCGATCAGAGCACTCCACGACTGTTTTTCTCATGTTGAGCTCAGTGTTGATTCTCTTTACGAGAACCATGTTCTTGACGTTAAGTCTCGCTTCGATGGTTTGGTTCTTACTCCCCTCGATCGTAACCCCGGGGAGACCCTGGTGCTGTGCCCAGCTTTGTACTTTGACGGGATGATGAGCACCTTTGTCCGAAATCCAGGGTACCGGATCCGTTTGGTTTCCGAAGAGGAGACGTTGAGGGAAATTCGTGAGGAAGTAGCAGATGCGGGGCTGGGTAAGTTCGCTAGATGGGATACGACTGGGTCTTTCGAATCGGCATATATTATTCCAAAGCACAAAGACTTGGGAAAATATAGGCCGATATGCCCCACGTTCAATGAACCCATAATCAGGACTGGGAGGGTCGTATCTCGCGCACTCAACCACTTGTTCACTACTATCCCGCGGGGTTGGCACTTTAACCTGCCTTCGGTAGCAAAGTTGACGCAGGAGTTGCGGGTTGCTAATAGTCATATTTTATGCTTGGGGACGGGATATGAAGTATCCACCCACTTGTTCGACATTAAGGAAATGTTTAGTCGGCTTCCCCATGGTGATGTGTTGCGCGCTGTTGAGTGGGTTGTAGATTTCCACCGATCTAAGGATCGGACTTTCATCAGGGTGAACACGAGAGGGAGAGGTGCTACCTTCGGCATTACAACGGGCGGTGACCACTGGCAAAAATTGAATCTCACCGATGTTTTAGCCTTCGTTAGGTTGAAACTGAAACACACCTACACGTTCGCGACTGGGGTATTGTTACAGCAGGTTATTGGGATCCCGATGGGCAAGACCACCAGTCCTCCCTTGGCAGCAATTTTGTGTGCTTATTCCGAGTTTCTGTATCTGCCGCGGTGTAGCCTGGGGAGGTATGCACGCTCCGTGTTCGTTAACCGTCTAGTGGATGATGTGATGTTTGTCACTGTTACCAAGGACGCAGAACTAGTGGAGCGACTGTTGCTGGGCGTCAAGGATTGCTACCCGGAGGCGCTGACTCTTAAGCAGACTGATGATGGAGGTGGAACTTTTGATTTCCTGGCCTGCCAGATTTGGACGTCTCAGTTTTTTCCTTATTTGAACTGTGTGCAGAAGTCAAAAAACGAAGAGTGCGTGTGGACGGATCAACCCCTGAAGATCCATAATGGGCAGTCATTCTTGTCATGGGGATGCAAAAGACAGAAGAGTGTTGTGATTAGTGGCTATCTGCATCAAATCGACCGTAATACTACAATCAGATTTGAGATTCCATTGCGTGTCCTCACTTTAAAACATGAACTTTTGAAGAAGGATTTCCCCGATCCTTTCTTCCATCGAGTGGTAAAACACTTCGTGGTAAGACGGGAGGATATCTGGCAGTACACAGCTCAATTTTTGGAATAGACACGTGTGCATCTGGGGAACGGACACATTTGGGATGTTGCAGTGTTTCTGTGTCATAGGAGTAGGAGTTTCCTTTACCATGTTGCATGAACTTGAACAATGGTTGTTTTTTCCATTTTTTGACAGCTGCTAAACAGCGTAGTACAACACTGTACTTTTTTGCTTGGTTGTTTGGGTTTCTTTTTGATTGATCTGGATGGCTTGTGCTTTGACTTTCCAACTTACATAGTAGAGTGATCAGACGATGATTTGCACAGTGCGTTATTAGGCTCTCGTCCGACAAATTTGGACAGGGTATACCGATTTGCCATGATATTTGCGCTCCCGGTTAGCGATTTCGCAAATTTGGAAAGGGTATACCGAGTTGGCATGATATCAGTGCTCGTCCGGAGCGGAGCCTTGGGTTCGACGATTTTCAAGTTTCGGGTTAGCGGACTAATTTCGACATTTTCGGTTAGTAGCTACTGGGCCACGTGAGTCCTGTTCTGGTACCGACGGGGTGGGACCACTGGTATGGACCCAATATTGGTTGTGTTTGTAGCTTGTCACGGGAGGTAGCTAGACTATATCTGCATCTATTGTGTGTTGTTCTACAGGACTAACGGTCGGACCTGCGTTTGGTATCCGGAGACCTACCGCGGGGAAGGATGGAAGAGGGTTGGAGTGGAGTAGCTCGACTAGTGTGGGAACGAGGTGGGAACCCCCTGATGAGATGGCGGCGGCCATCGAAACGCGTCCGGGACGCATTCCAGCGCAGGATTCTTTCTATCTTGTGAAGAAAACATTCAATGATGCTTTTCATTTCAGTTGCAGTTTGGACGTCTTAATATGTTTTACTCAGCGATACCACTACTACTACTATCATAAGGAACCCACAAAAAAAAAATCAGAAAAAACAACTTATTTTTAGGCCCTGAAATATTTCTTGGCGGGGGCCGAACCTGGAGGTGTTTGGCCCCCGAACGAGACCCCGAACGCTCGAACGTTCGGGGGCCAGCCCGGGGCCCCCCGAACATTCGGGGGCCAGCCCGGGGCCCCCCGAACATTCGGTTAGGTAACCCTCAATATTAACCCTATATATATATATATATATCGTCACAAACAGAACTGCCCGGTAAACCGTAGGCAGAGAGAGAGAAGAGGACAACAAACGAGGGGTTGTGACATATATATATATATATATATATATATCGTCATATATA